CAGAAGTAGCGCAACACACTCTTCGCTGCAGCCATGTGCTCTGGTCGGTGTCTCCCAGGAGCAACATAGCGTGCCAAGATGCTAAGCAGGTATGAAATGCCAGACAGTGTGTAGGTCATCAGGTACATGAGGCAGCCAACAAGCTCTGGGCACGAGCCACTTGGCTCTATGGACTCATTCGAAGGCAGAGCTGAGAGCGAGTGACGAGTAGACAGAGGAGTGGCCTGAGGCGAGGAGTACGTGAAGTCAAAGCGCTGAAGGACCTGCTGCACCATGTCTGACTAAGTCAGGGTAATGGTGCGCTGTGTTCTCTCCCAAGTGATCTGCAAGCCAAGGTAGCTGCGCAGTTCACCCAGGTCTGAGCACGTGTGTCTCTTCTGCAATTCAGACTTCACGTGGGCGAGTCCAGCAGTGTCTGCAGTGGCAAAGACCAAGTAATCAACATACGCGAGGATGTAGAACGGCGGCAAAGAGGTGTCGATGCACAGAAACAGCGACGGGTGGGTAGCAGAAGGAGCAAAGCCAAGAGCCGCAAATGTAGTCCTCAGTGTATGGTGCCACTCACGGGGCGCCTGGTGGAGAGTGTAGACTGGCCGCCGGAGGCTCCACTGGGTACCACGAGGAAATGACCCAGTGAAGCCAGGTGGAGAGAAGGTGTGAAAGTAGCCAGGTGGAGAGAAGGTCTGAAACAGCGAAGCCAGATCTCCTTCTCTCCACCTGGTTGTTTCAGAGGTCTGATAGTAGTCAACTCCCTGCCATTGACTGAAACATCGAGCGACGTAACGCGCCTTGAAGACAGGTGGAGAACCCGGCGGCCGCTTCACCCTGAAAATCCACTTGCCAATGACGATGTTCGCCCCGGGTGGGGGAACCTCATCGACGTAGGTGCGTGTATACTTCCAGGAAGTCATCTCTGCGTCCATGGCTGACTGCCACTCAGAGGAGTACGGACCCTCGATCACCTCAGCGTACGATCGAGGAATCGGGATGTCTTTTGCATCTAGGTCTCCCTCATGGAAATCAGCTTGGACACGAGATGAGTCAAAGCGCCAGCAAAACACTGGAACTCCTCCTGCCTGTCCTCAAGGACGTCTGTGCTAAGAGCGCACTCACCCCTGACGCACGGAGGACAGAGTGACTCAGACTCAACAACAAGACTAGCAGCGTAGTCCACACGACATCGAACAGCAAAGTCGACAAGCTCAGCAACTAGGGCGGACGCAATAGTGGACTCAAAGGAAGGGTCACTGACAACAGTAGCTAGGAGATACGTGACAGTAGGACTGGCAGTAGGAAGAGAGTCAGACTCCGGGTCAGCAAGAATAAGAAGAGAGGACTCTGGATGAGACGACAATGGGACACGCAGAGGAGCAGTGGAAGGACCGAGTGCCATCTGGTATGTGCCTGGGACCATAGGAGGGCGCGGACGTGGAGCACGATCACTAGTGCGAGCAGCAGGAACAGGCGACGCAGGACGAGACGCAGGCTCACGACGCTCAGCAAGACACCCAGTAGGACCAGTGTAGGGAGAAGGAGTAGGCAGGGGGGAGGCGGGCTGTAACTCTGACCGCGACTGGACAGCTTGTGGACACTTTAAGGGAGGAGCAGGACGAGTAGAGGGCGGGAGACCAAGAACCTGCTCAAGGAGCGGAACGAAGTACGGCTGCCGCCGCGCAGCGCCTCCAGAACTAGCAGGGAGAGTACCAGTACCCCCGGAAGCAGCATAAGTGCCAGCAGCACCTCCAGCTCCAACAGCGCCAACTCCAGCACCCTCAGAAGTACCAGCGCTAGCAGCACCTCCAGCGCCAACACCCCTTGCAGCTCTAGCTCCAGCAGCTCCAGCTCCAGAAGGACCGCCGGCTCCAGTACCGCTAGCTGCTCTAGCAGTACGCCCTGCAAGACCAGCTCCCGCAGCACCAGCAGCACCCCTAGTCCCAGCAGCTCTTGTACAGTCAGCACGAGCACCTCCAGGACCAACAGCAACAGTAGCACCTCCAGCTCCAGCAGCACGGCTCCAGCGCCGGGCAAACCATTTGCGCAGCTCCTGCGGAGAGAGCAGCTCCAGCCTCGAGGAAGCACCGTAAGAGGCCACACGGGCAGACCCAGCACCCCCAGGCTCAGCACCCCCAGGCTCAGCACCCCAAGGCTCAGCACCCCTAGACTCAGCACCCCCAAGGACTGCACCCCCAGGCTCAACACCTCCAGACCCAGCACCCGCAGGCTCAGCACCTCTAGCAGCACCACAGTCAAGAGCTACCTCGACAGGCTTGAGTGCGTCTACCTGGGACACATCTGATGGGGAAGGACCCTGAGGGGGGAGGGGGTCTAATGGGGGAGGACCTGGCGCAAGGAAGAATGGCGGCGGTGGGAGGGGTGCAGTGCGGTAGGGGAAGAGACGATAGTAAGGTACCGACTCGTCAAAGGTGACATCCTGGGAGGACAGAACACGTCGCGAGGTGGGGTGGTAAAACTGCCACCCAGGCGCGTCAGGGGGGAAGCCAAGGAAGACACAGGGAACAGCACGGGGGGACAGCTATGAAGAAGACAAGGAGGAGCAGGCGAGGGTGGGAGGTGAGGGAGAACCCTAGGAAGACCAGAGACAAGGACACGGCGATGCATGCTACGAAGGCGCTGCACTGAGGGGTGACCAAGACGGTGGTGCCAAAGGAGGGTCTGGTGCGACAAGGCGCGAAACAAGCAGAGGGCCGCTAGCTGACCTGACGTAGACGTAGACGCACCGACTTGAGGGGACACAGTAGTCAGTGTGTAGAGACTCGAGCCAGGCGCACGGGTAAACATGGCCAGGTGCCGGCCCATCTGGGAGCATGTACAGTGGTTCCCGCGCTGACCTCTAGGAATGAACTGGTCAACCCACTGGTCCTGGAGGTCAGCACCACTCACCAAGTTCGTAGAGAACGAGGGGAGGTGAAGACCTGACAGGGAGCCAGACGGGACCGCCGGACACGGCAGGAACGTGGAGGAGTGCACAAGGACTGGACCCCTAGAGGGGTCTGCCACGGAGACTGGAACCGGCCGACTAAGCCGCGTGAGGGTGGTGCTGTCGTGAAAGAAGGAGCGGGAAGCACCTGAGTCAAGTGTGAAGGTGTACATGGTCTCCGCAGGTGCAGTACCAGAGAGAGCAGACGCACCAGCACCCAGAGCAGCAGCCTCACCAGCACCTAGAGCAGGAGACGCACTAGCACCTAGAGCAACAGCCGCACCAGCACCTAGAGCAAGAGACGCACGAGCACCCATAGCAGCAGCCTCACCAGCACCTGGAGCAGCGGACTCTATACCTAGGTCAGGCGGTACGTACAAGTAACAGGCACCGTCAGCACTAGTAGGCAATGCACACATGGCAGTGAGAATAGCATCATAGTCAAGAGCAAAGATATCTACCCTCTACCTAAGCAGCTCTAGCCACGTGGGGAGCTCAGCCTCGTCGCCAAACTCAGTACGCCAGACGTCGCTCAGACGGGCGTAGCAGCGGGAGTGTGTGTGACTAAGCGTCCTGCAAGCCTGACCAGCCCGATCACCTGTGCGAATGACGTACGCGCAGTGAACTGTACTCCGAGACCCTCTCCTCTGAGCGTACCACTCGTGAAGCTGCTGGGGCGTAAGTGTCTCGCGCGGGCGCCGTTGGAGCTGCAGCTGGCCACTGCCACACGCTCCCTGCTAACCAACTCCACGGCGACAGCTACGACTGCTACCGCCAAAACCCCAACTAGCGTACCACTCACAAAGCTGCTGCGGCGTGAGAGACTTGCGCGGACGTCGTTGGAGCTGCATTTGGCCACCGCCAGTAGCAGCACTAGCAGTAGTAGCAGCAGGAGCCTAGCAGCAATAACAGAAGAAGCAGCAGTAGGAGTGTGGGCAGGGCAAGCGAGGCAGGCAGGCAGGCAGCCAGATGGCGCTGCAGCGCGTTAACAAGGCAGACACGCGCAAAGAGCGGGTAGGGCAGGTGCTCACCGGTGGCGGGAAGGGCAGGCGCACGACGGCGGGGCCGCAACAGCGGGTGTAGAGTAGGACCGCGTAAGTTGCAGGGCTGGGGCCATGACAGCGGCAGGGCAAGGCCGCGACAGCTGCTGCAGGGCGGGGCCGTGTCGGCGGCAGGGCGGGGCCAGGCGGGGCCGCGTCGGCGGCGAGGCTGGGCCGCGTCGGCGGCAGGGCGGGTCTAGGTGGGGCCACATCGGCGGCAGGGTGAGGCTGTGTTGGTGGCAGGGCGGGGCCAGGAGAGGCTGCGTCGGTGGCAGGGTGGGGCCGCGTTGGCGGCAGGGCGGGGCCGCGTCGGCGGCAGGGCGGGGCCACGTCAGCAGCAAGGCGGGCCGCGACACGGCGGCAGGGCGGGGCCGCGTCGACGGGGCCGTGACCTGGCGTTGCCGCGTTGGCGTCAAGGCGGGGCCGGGACAGTGGGAGGGCGGGGCTGCGTCGACGGCAGGGCGGGGCCGCGTCAGCGGTAGGGCGGGTCGCGACACGATGGCAGGGCGGGGCCGCGTCGGCGGGGGCACGACCTGGCGGGGCCGCGTCGGCGTTAGGGCGGGGCCGCGACCGTGGGAGGGCGGGGCCGCGTCGACGGCAGGGCGGGGCCGCGTCCGCGGCAGGGCGGGGCCGCATCGGCTGCAGGGCGGGGCCGCGGTCTGACGTGACAAGCTTGCAGGGGCGGCTCGTGGGTGTGACGGAGCTGCTGGGGCAGCTCATGGGCCTGACAGGTCTGCAGGGGCGCGGCGCGGGGTGACGGGCCTGCAGGGGCGGCTCGCAGGTCTGACGGACCTGCAGTGGCGACTCGCGGGCCTTACGAGTCTGTAGGGCAGTGCGTGCGTAGCTAGGGCAACAGTAGGCAGCACGAGGGCTGCAGGACGGTGCGCAGAGCGCAGCACGTCACAAGGCAAGGCAGGCGAAGGCTAGCGCGGGACAACACATGGGGTAGCGCGGTAACCGCAGCGGTAGGTGGGCCCGGGAAAAAAAAAAAAAAAAAAAAAAAAAAAGACGGTCCTACGGACCTAGTGCTCTTAAACCATGTCAGAATGTAGTAGCACGAATGGATGAACTATGAAAGAGTTGGGTGCAAATGTGAAACCCTAATGGGGTTGTACCCCATGTTGGCTACCCCACTACAGCCTACACATATATGGCATACATATAATTTGACACCTCTGCCCTGCTTCCCCCCATCCCCTTCCCTGCTTCTCCCCATCCCATTCCCTGCTTCCCCGCATCTCCTTCCCTGCTTCCCCCCATCCCCTTCCTTTCTTCCCACCATCCCCTTCCCTGCTTCCCCACATCTCCTTCCCTGCTTCCCCCATCTCCTTCCCTCCTTCCCCCATCTCCTTCCCTGCTTCCCCCCATCCCGTTCCCTGCTTCCCTGCTTCCCCCCATCCCGTTCCCTGCTCCCCCCCATCCCCTTCCCTCCTTCCCCCCATCCCTTTCCCTGCTTCCCCCCATCCCCTTCCCTGCTTCCCCCCATCTCCTTCCCTGCTTCCCCCCATCCCCTTCCCTGCTTCCCCCCATCCCCTTCCCTACTTCCCCCCATCCCCTTCTCTGCTTCCCCCCATCCCCTTCTCTGCTCCCCCCCATCCCCTTCCTTGCTTCCCCCCATCCCCTTCCCTGCTTCCCCCCAATCCCTTCCCTTCTCTACACGGTGAATAGAAACACACACGCGCATGCATAAGTTCTTCGATGACTGGATCCCTTGGCACAAGTGATGAGCGTCTCCCTCCCACTTTGTCGCCGCAATGCTGCCCCCCCCCCCTTGTGCCTGCCGCTTGCTGTCCATGCCTTCCATCCCACCTCTTCCAAACCACATCGTGTTTTAAATGTGCCCGACCCCTCTGGCTCTTCCATTCACTCTACTCTCTTCCTCGCAGCAGGCCACCGAAGCACCACATCCAGCAGATCTTCGAGTGGATCTGCCTTGAGGCGAGCTGGCGGAGCTGTGAGGCAGCCTCCTCTCAAAACTGCCTTCAGCCTCCCCTTCTGCCCAGCAGTATGCCACAGAGCATTGATGCGGGAGGGGGCAGACCATGCTGGCAGAAATGATGGCGGCAGCGCACGTCAGGTCATGTGCCGTGGGGCAAGGCTGGTCTGCTCTGCTGTGGGCCCGGGGAGTGCAGAGTGGTGCAGGGACCAGCACGGCATGTCGCTATGTGGCCGGCCAATATCCTTATGAGTTGCGGGATTTGAGCTTGAGACCTATGTTCCTGAAATGTACTGCTAATATGTTTCTTGATATGTCATTTTTATAATTGACAATTTGCTTTCAATGCTTTTCTGCACCTATTCAGCACTTGAAATGTTGTGTTTTTCTGAAGTGAAGTCTCAAAACCAACTAAACATTTTAGTAAATTTAGAAATTGTAAAAATAGTGTTCACTGTACTTCCTCACTCTCACTCGCGCGAGTTTCGCGTTGCCCACCATTTCAATCCTAAGAGAAGCGAAATGTGCCCCACCAGTGGTGGGGCTGGAGCAGTGCTCTGTCACACACAGAGTCGTTCGGCCCTCCCATATCCTCGGAAACAGCTGTCCCATATCCTGAATTCGCTTTCGCCCCACACACATTTTCGAAATAAGCGAATTTTTTTATAATCGTTAGATAGTTTCAACCCCGCATAACTTGAAAAATTACCATGCTGACTTCGGGCTATAATACGAGGAGGGGGGGGGTGTATTATTCAAGACTGTTTTCCTTATACCCCCCAATTGGGGTGAAATCATTTTAAGAACCCCCCCCCAACCATAAAAGTGCTTTTTAGAAGCTAATTAATGTCAATGAAGCAAGCAGTGGCACATGTTAGGCCACACGAGTCACAAAATACAATCAAGGCAGCCTCTCAACACCCAGCTAGCTCCATTCTTCACCCACCACCTTGGAATTCGCCCCCGCCTTGCTACTCATCTTCGTCACCCGCCACCCACTCCTCTACATCTGCCCGCTCATAGCGACCAGGGGCCCACCATTCCTCCCCGTCCTCGCTCCACTCATCGGCTTTGCTCGCGTTTCCATCGTCTGACTCGCTCGAGTCTGACTTAGCAGTTACTGCCTCCTTATTGGCCTCCTGTGCTTCAGCAGCTAGCACGGCCTCCTCCTTGATCTCGACGGTCACATCAGAAGGGGTGACCATGGGAGCCGGGTAGAACGGGTTGGGGACCGGTTCATCCTACTCCTCCTCCATCACGTCTTCCAGCACCTCCACCTCATCGGAATCCCGCATGTGCGCCAGAATCAGATGATCCCGGCTCCCGTCCTCTGCGTTGGAGACGCCGCAGGCAAGGAATGCTTTCCTCACCATCTTCTCGGGAACGTCGGCTCACGACTCATCAATCCACTTCAGGATGAGTTCGGCCGGCAGTTTCTTCAGGTTGCTTCTGGGCTGGGGCCAAAGGAAAGGGATTGGAGGGTGTATGGTTGAGTGATTTGTATGTTCTTACACCGAAAACACGCCCCCATTGCTTCATACACAGGCTTACCTGTGGGAGTTGTGTTAGAATGAACGAACATGAATGGTTGAACTAACAGTGAAATCTGTACAAGTAACTAACCCTAGAATTGTGTACCCCCTATAGGCTAACCCACTGTAGCCTAAACAAGCACAACATAAATAATGTTTGACACACCCCCATAGGCGAAGTCGGGGAGAACTAGGGGTCACAAGACCAGTCAAGGCAAAGCAAGGCAAAACAAGGTCAGGGTGGATCTCAAGGATACCACACAAATTCCGAGCACAAGCAAGTGGTCACAAGACCACTTCACATGCAGGTTCATAATAGAGCAAGAGGTACAATGATCACAACCTAGCAAGAGTAAACATGCAGGTATATACATATATATAGAGATCACAGTACTAACAGACTCAAGAAGTAAGCAAGTGAGGTCCAGTAGGTACAAGGCCTAGAAAAGTGCAAAAGCGCTGATGGTCACAAGGCTGAAGCGCCTTGGTGAACATATCAGCAGTGTTGGCCTCAGAGGCCACGTAACGCAGACGAAGCTGACCACCCTGCTGCAGCTTTCAAGCAAGGAAGTAGCGTAGAGCAACGTGCTTCGTTCTGTGCTCCAGTCTGTGCTCCTCACACAAGGCAATGGCTGCCTTGTTGTCGACGTACAACACTAAAGGAGAACGAGGCTGCTTTCCAAGGTCGGTCAGCAAATAGGTGAGCCAACGTAGCTCCTGGGCCGCCATGGCTGTGGCATAGATCTCAGCCTCACAACAGGAGCTGAGAAGAGAAGAAGAGCGAGTAGAACGCCAAGAAACTAAACCAGAGCCAAGACTGAAGGTGTAACCTTGAGACAACCTTGGGTACTGCACAAGTAGCGCAACACCCTCTTAGCTGCATCCATGTGCTCCTTCCGGTGACGGCCGGGAGCGACAAAACGTGCAAGAATACTAAGAGGGTATGCAAGGTCAGGTCGAGTACAGGTCATCAGGTACATGAGGCGACCCACAAGCTCTGGATACGTGCCACTCGACTCTACGGACTCATCCGAAGGCAGAGCTGAGAGCGAGTGGCCGGTAGGCAGAGGAGTGGGCTCAGGCAAGAAGTACGTGAAACGGAAGCGCTGAAGGACCTGCTGCACCATGTGTGACTGAGTCAAGGTGATGGTGCGGCGTGCTCTGTCCCGGGTGATCCGCAAGCTAAGATAACAAGAACAACAATTCACCCAGGTCTATGCGCGTGTGTCTCTTCTGCAGCTCAGACTTCACGTGGGCGAGTCTAGCAGTGTTAGAAGTGGAGAAGACCAAGTCGTCGACGTACACGAGGATGTAGAACGGCGGCAGTGAGGTGTCGGTGCGTAGAGATAGCGACGGGTCAGCAGTAGAAGGCGCGAACCCAAGAGCCCCAAGTGTTGTCCTCACTGTGTCGTGCCACTCACGTGGCGCCTGGCGGAGACCGTAGACTGGCCGTCGGAGGCTCCACTGAGTACCAAGAGGGAACGACCCAGTGAAGCCAGATCTCCTCGTGCAGGCTACCTTGTAGGAAAGGAGTGCTGAAGTCAAGAGAATGGAGCTGGTAGTTACACTGAGCGGCGATGTGTAGCAGAACTCGAAGAGTGGTCATCTTCGGGGCCGGGGAGAAGGTCTGGAAGAAGTCAACTCCCTCTCGCTGACTGAAGCCTCGTGCAACGTAACGCGCCTTGAAGACAGGCGGAGAGCCCGGCGGCCGCTTCACCCTGAAAATCCACATGCCACTAACGATTTTCGCCCCAGGCGGGGGAACCTCGTCGAGGTAGGTGCCTGTGGACTTCCAGGAAGCCATCTCTGTGTCCATGGCTGCCTGCCATTGAGAGGAGTAGGGACCGGCCATCGCCTCTGCGTAAGAGCGTGGGGTCGGGATGTCTGGTGCATCCGGGTCTCCCTCACGGGCAACAAGCATGGACACGAGATGGGGCAAAGCGGCAGCAAAGCACTCAAACTCCTCTTGCCTGTCCTCAAGGACGTCAGTGCCAAGAGCACACTCACCCCCGACGGACTGAGGAGAGACAGAATCAGACTCAACAATTTGGCTAGCGGCGTAGTCTAGATGACAGGTGGCAGCAAAGTCGACAAGCTTAGCAACTAAGGCAAACGCAGCAGCGGACTCAAAGGAAGGGTCACTGACAACAATAGCCAGGAGACGCTTGACAATAGGACTAGCAGCACGAAGGGAGTCTCAACGTGGGTCAGGAAGAGCAAAAAGAGAGGACGTAGGAGGAAATGGTGGAAGGACGAAGCGCCATCCGGTGAGTGCTTGGGACAGCAGGAAGACGCTAACGCGGGACACGACTACCTGTGGGGGCAGTACAGACAGGCGACGCACGACAAGACTCAGGCTCACGACGCTCAGTAAGACCTCCAGTCGGACCTGTGTAAGGAGCAGGACCAAGGAGAGAGGAGGCACACGGTAGCTGCGATTGCAGCTGGACAGACGGAGGACACCCTAAGGAGGGAGGAGGACAAGGAGGAGGGAGCTGACCAAGAACCTGCTGAGGGAGCGGAACAAAGTACGGCCGCGGCCGTGCAGCGGCTCTAGAACCAGCAGAGACACCAGCGCCAGGGTCCTCAGCACCAGCAGCAGCTCCAACGCCCGGGTCTGCAGCACCAGCAGGAGCTCCAACGCCAGGGTCCTCAGCACCAGCAGCAGCTCCAACGCCCGGGTTCGTAGCACCAGAAGCAGCTCCAACCTTTGGGGCCGCAGCACCAACATCACCAGTAGAGTCTCAAGCATCAGTAGCACCACCAGCAGCAACGTGGTCCGCGACACCAGGAGCGCCACTCCGAAGAGTGCAGCGCCGCTCGTACCACTCACGGATCCGCTCACGGGAGGGGAGCTCCCGACAAGGAGAAGAAGCACTAGCACCTGACCCAGTAGTACGCCTGGCTTCAGAGGTACCTCTCCTAAGGCTGCAGTATTGTAAGTACCACTCACGCAGCTGCTCTGAGGAGAGGGCTCCTCCGATGTAGGACTCCCAAGCTCAGCACCTCCAGACTCAGAACCCACAGACTCCGGACTCTGCAACTCAGCACCCCCGGGCTCAGTACCCCCAGGCTCAGCACCCCAAGGCTCCGCACCCCTAAGCTCCGCACCCCCAGGTTCAGCACCCCCAGGCCCCGCACCCCCAGGCTTCGTACCCGCAGCAGGACGAGAGTCGACAGCTACCTCAACAGGCTCAACCGGGTCTATCAAAGACA